CCTTCCTTCCTTCCTTCCTTCCGCAAATGCAGCTGACAAAAAAACCACTTGGTAACTTACAAACCCTAGTTGAAAGCTTTTTTAAAAAGTTGGGTGAAATTATAATGGTTTGTACCATCACTATAGTTTTGTTATCCTCTGCTCCCCACTAATTCTAACTCCCCAAACCTTATCTGTTTCCCTTCCAGTCTCAGATTTGGAGGGGGGGGCTGTCCGACCTCTTGAATTTCCAGCCTTATCAAGCTGGTGCTAAGTTCAGGGATATTCCTGACAAGCACTCAGTATCCCTTTAGTCAGCACAACCAGCTAACCGGCCTCCCCATTATCTTTCCAGCTACCTCCAATCTATACACTCCATCCCATCTACTAATTGTCTGGTTCTTATCAAGATAACGGAGTGGGGATGAGCAGGGGTGGGATTCAAATTTTTTAACAACCGGTTCTGTGGGTGTGGCTTAGTTGGTGGATGTGGCTTAGTGGTCATGTGACTGGGTGGACGTGGCTTGGTGGTCATGTTATTGGCTGGCCTTGGCCAAATCAACATCGCTCACATCGAGGCAGGCATCTCCTTGCCCGGCCTCTCGTGACTGTGGGGATGCTGCAACAGTCGTAAGTGTGAAAAACGGTCATAAGTCACTTTTTTCAGTGCCATTGTAACTTTGAATGGCCACTCCACACAAGCAAAGTACCAACAAAGGAGGGGGAAAAAACTCCAGAGGTGTTCCTGAGACAGGAAGTCTAGTTCTGCCAAGAATGTAATAAGGGTTAACGGAGAGGCAGTTTCGGTAAGCAACACCAGAATGTTTCCTTCCTGCCTTCCTTACAGGATTAGGCCAGTAATTTCTTCTAACAACTGGTTCTCTGAACTGCTTAGAATGTTAACAACCAGTTCTAGCGAATAGGTGTGAACTGGTAGAATCCCACCCCTGGGGATGAGGTAAAAATACTGTCCTAACAAGGTAAGTTGGCCCATATTACACACCAAGGTTTTTAACTGGGAAAATGAAAGGTGCCACCTGGGTTAATACTTGCCCACCATCAATATCTACCACAAACTTAGTCTAAAGCTCAAAAGTCAAGGCATTTAGAACATAGAATAAAAGATTTGGAAGGGACCTTGGAGGTCTTCTAGTCCAACCCCATGCTAGAGCAGGGGACTCTATGCCATTTCAGATAAATTATTGTCCAGTTTCTTTTTGAATGCTTCCAGTGATGGAGCACCCATAACTTCTGAAGATGAATTGTTCCATTGGTTGATTGCTCTCACCATTAGGAATTTTCTCCTTAGTTCTCGGTTGCTTCTCTCCTTGGTTAGTTTCCATCCATTGTTTCTCGTCTTGTCTTTTGGTGCTTTGAAAAATAGCTTTATTCCCTTGTCTTTGTAGGACCCCCTCAAATATTGGAACACTCCTATCATGTCTCCCCTAGTCCTTCTTTTCATTAGACCAGAGTAGACATACACCCAATTCCTGTAACCATTCTTCGTATGTTTTAATCTCCAGCCCCCCGCCAATCATTTTTGTTGCTCTTTTCTGCGCTCTTTATAACACCAGCTTTTTATATATCAAGAGTAAGAGAATCTTAAAGCTGATGTTAAACAAGGTCCAACACAATAGATAAAATTGGTCGCCGATTCATATGGGTAATTCAATAGAAGCTGCAGATCCACCAGCCTGCTCACACTCCCACTCCGTATACATACCAACCTTGCACCTACCTTAAAGATAATAAAAATACAAAAGTGACTATTGAAACAAGAATGTTGGTCCTGAAGAGTGCTTGACTGAGTCTGTTTCCCCATGAAGCTCAAAATAAACTGTTTTTGCATATACATGACTTTCAATCAGGAAAAGGGCTACCAATTTCTATCATGTGGCCACAATCTAAAATCATTTCTTGATGGTTAAATTCCTACTGTCTGTGCACAGTAGCGGTAATGCTTCAGAATGTATTTGTGTAGTTAGGATGTGCTGAAATTTCTCTACCATCTCATTCTTAGCATAAGCATTTATCTTATTTTTAGCAGAGAGACAGAGTGATTTGTGCAAGACCAACTGTCTTATTGCACAATTTATTACTATGGGCTGCATGCTCATTTACATATACGCGACTAAGAGTAATCCTTGGAGTGCTGCATTATTAGACTTCAAAGTTGACTAAGCCTTCTCATTTTTAATCAGTGTGCTTTTAAATACCGTGATTGTACTTTTAAATTATTCCTAAGTTGTTGTGATCCTGCAGGCTTTAACCTTGTATTCATAAGATGGTCAGCTTTGTAAGTCTTGGATTTCCTCTAATTGAACATTTGTTCT